ATCAGTGCAGCTAATGGCTAATATACATCAACAAGGTGACTTTTCTGTCATGTTGCAACAGTATGAGCTCTGATTATCTGAGAGTTGAGGCCCTGTTTTCTGACGTCATTATGTACGATATGGGAGAGAGGTCAAAGTTTAAGACTTAGCTTCAGCGTGAGAAACAGAACAGGCAAAACAAGACAAAACAAACAAGCATAAGAGCATATCCCAGAGAGAAATGTCCCGCAGGACATCACTTCATGCAGTGAAACCCCCAGAGGGCCTATTAACTTCACATTGTTATTTAGTAGACTGGATTAGCTCACAACGGCTAATGACAAAATATTAGCAAAATAGCTTTTAAAAGTGGCAATTTGGTAGTTGCCACATGTGTCAGCTCTTCATAACACTAATAGGCTTTTCACACTACACTTAATGCTGTTCTAACATGCAGATTATGGCCGCTTTTAACCTGGAGTTAAGCAACGTTTCACACTTGTAATGTTGAAAGAGGGTCAGCGCTGTTTTTAAGCCTGAGGTATAAAGCACTGCTAAGCAAATCGGAGAGTTTCTTGAACACTAGGTATGTGCACATGCACTAATTGTCATCAATCAGAATTAATCCAATCCGATTTCAGATTCTGAAAGTTCTGTTTATATGAACCCTAAATGTAGCAATCGGTTGAAATTTCATTCGGATCAAGCTCAGTCGATTGGATTCAGGTTTTTATATGACGCCGTTTTAGAGCCATCAATCTAATTAATAGATTATTTGGGTGTATGTGAATGTAGCTACTGTGTAAATGCTAACCTAAGGGACCCAAAAATGAAAATGAAGAAAAGTTCCAAACCTGTACTTACTTTCTTCTGTGGATTACAAAAGAATATATGTTGATGCAAAATGCCTCGGAAATTTGGTTTTTGTCATACAGTGCAAGTCAGTGCTATCCAGTGGTGTTTTGGACCCAACAAACTTTTAATTTTATGGACAAAAATGGTTGACATGGGCTATTCTTGAAAATGTCTTTTTTGTAATCCATTGAAGAAAGTAAGTAATACAGATTTGGAACGACACGAAGCTGAGTAAATGACAACAAAACATTTATTTAAAGTCCCTTTAAGTGTATAAATCGCTAACATGGATCAAATAATCTAGCATGATGTTAACACAGGGTTAAAATTAACTTTAAATTAGTTCAATTTCAAGTGTGAATGGCCTTTGTAAATATTTGGGCTGAAATGACTCAAGCTGCAAACATCAGCTGGTGTATTAATGTGATTTAGATCAAATCAGCATCTCATTATCTGGCTCCATGTGGCTGGTTCCTCTGTTTACATTCTTTCATTTGACATTACAAAGCCATTAGTTCACATTCATTATTTAAGGTATTTTCAGGGGGAAAGACTTCAAATGTGTGGCCTATTCTCTAAAGACCATAGTCATTTCCCATGACTCATGTCCCCTTGCCAATGAAAAAATGTGCTTCCGATATTCCTCCTATGGTTGTATTGCCAGGTTGTACATGTCTCGCGTCTGCTGGACGTTTCGAGTACTGTAAATATTTGGGCTGAAATGACTCAAGCTGCAAACATCAGCTGGTGTATTAATGTGATTTAGATCAAAGACTGGCTTCATTGTGCAATTATTAGCAATTTTTATGTCCAAGTAGTTTGCATGTCTCACAGCAATAAACCGATCCTGTAGCTGTAGGGTTCCGGGGTCTCTGAAGTGTGGCAGAAATTAACATGCAAGGCATTTGTCACTGTAATTACAGACTCATTATTTTTCATACTCTTTCTTGCGTTCTCTATCTTTCTGACGACTTGGGGAAGATTCCATCTCCCTCAATTATTCCCATCTGGGTTCATTTTCAACACTCACGCTTCATTACTGGGGAACAGAGCGCTCGCTGTACTCTCCTCCCTCCTCCTCCCTCGCTCCCTTGCTCTTTCACACCTCTCTGCTGCCAGCCCGCCACCCTCCCTCACACTGACACTGACGACTGGCACATAAACACACACCGGCTGGCGTGCTGCTCTGCCCTGGCACCTGTCACAAGGGAGGGTGGCATTTGGCAATGTTGCAAGTGTTTTTGAAGGGTCTTTGTTTCATGTGGTTGTATATTTACTACACGCTAATTCCTGCAGCGTTAACTTAAGTGTTTATTTAAAGTACTTACTCTACTGTTCAGAATACGGTTTTACTGTTTACTTACACTACTATGTTTTTTGAGAGAAGTCTCTTATGCTCACCAAGACATTTATTTGATCAAAAATACAGTAATATTGTGAAAAATTGTCATTTAAAATAACGGTTTGAATATATTTGAAATTGTAACTTGTTCCTGTGATGGCAAAGCTGAATTTTCAGCAGCCATTACTTCAGTCATCAGTTTCACATATGCCCTCCCTTCCCTTTGTAAGCATCCCATTTCTGACATGAAACCGACATCAAACATTTTTATAACTGTAGTCTCATGCCTTAAAACCGGTGTTGGAAACATATGGCTTGCGAGCCGTATATATCTCTTTCAGTAATTGGCTCAGCAAGGAAAAAATGAAACAAACAACATCACAATTTTTGAAACCTTTTTTCATACATTCATCAACTATTATCATTATGTCACTATAACTATTATGTCAGTACAATTAAAAACTGATTTTTAAAAAAAATTTTTTTTACAAATATTACATAGATGCCCATATGTCATGTATGCACCAATAAATTGTGCTAAGCTCAAAATTTATTTCATTTTGACAATTTGAAGTGGAGAAATAATTTTCCAGTCTGGTTCATAAATCAGTTGAAAATCTACATAGCCACGGTCTGTTTTCAGTTTTGTTAAACAAAAGTGAAATGGTTAAACAAAAACATGAGTATTGTTCTTTCTAGTCTGGACCATAAATTTGCATTTGTGAAGTGAGCTGGATCTTCAGTTTGTCTCATTTGCAAGAGCGAATTGTGTTGCTTAAAAATGTAATGTAAAGAGCCACAATATGCAGCGTGTCACTATTTGCTGTGCTGACGATGTTTGGTTTGATGTAAAAAAATTACATTGTCTTAAATTAACCATTTTTGTGACAAAATATCATAATTACAACAGTTTTTGCTGCTACTACTACTACTAGCAATAAGAACAAACCAGCAATAAGCAATTTCCACACTGAATGCAAAAGTGGCGTGACATCACAATATTACTTGCAGGTTTTAAATTGATTTTTTTCTTTCTTAAAATTTCTCAAATTTGCTCATCATATCAATAGATCATCTCTCTCTTTCTCAAACACACTCTTATACTGATCTGAACTGCTCTATATGTGCCTGTCTATGTGTACAAGTAGGACGGTGGCCGTAATTCCCTGAGCTCTGTCTAAAGAATCTCTATCTTAAGAATCTAAATGGTCATGATTGGTTTGTTTTGTTCAGGCTTCCACAGGATTTCTTGCTTTTGAAGCTCATCAAGTCTATCTTTTGACAGTAGACATACAATCTGTTGCAGTGAGGTGTACAGCAAACCCTGTTTTCCTTTGAAAGGAGAACCGAAAAGAGGTGCTGTCTTAATTGATGCCTGGTTAGACCTTAATGTGCTTCTGAAATTTGCACACAAAAGGGGTATTTTGGGATGTTGCCATGGCAACATGAGCCCCAGTGGACGACAGAAGGGCAGATTATAAGAAGGGTCTGAATAAAGTCACTTGAGAAAAAACTGCAAAGATGAAAAAATGACCAACAGACCATTTTTCAGTGGTTCAAGGCTATTACCTTGTTTCGCCAGATTAGAAGGACTTTTTAATTTTAAGAAATAAAATAAACATTGATGGATGGAAGTACAGTCAATGCAATATGTTGTAACTGATGACTCATTTATTCCACCAAACACTGAAAAAACATGTCCCTCAGCCTCATTTGTGCTTGCCAAATTAAACTTGTCATCAAGAGCTATGGCTTAAAACTGACTTCTGTTTTTTTTTCCTCTCTTTTAAGCTTTGTTCTCACTTGCTCTTTTCCACCCTTTTCTCCTTCTGATTCATTTCCATGTAGACTTAAAGCTAAATCCCTTTCTAGAGTCAGTTTAAATGACAGTAGGTTATTCGCCCATTGGAAATCCTCAGTCACACATACCTCTCTTTTTTTTCTTTTCTCCCCAAGCTCCTCCTTTTGTTTCCTCCTTCATCTCTATTCTTTATTTTATTCATGCCCTTCATAATCCAGCCACAGTCTCACATCTCGCCCAGAGAAAATGGGACCCTTAAAAGATGCTCTACCTACCCTCAAATGCTAGATATAGCTCCACAACCTGACAGATTACTCCTCTTTGTTTATGTGTAAGTGATTCAGTGTCCTGGTGTCTGGTTGTTTGGAGGTAAACTGACGTCAAGAGGCCAAAGCATCTCTTCCAGCTTGTTAACCCCGATATTCAATTTCATACATCACTGCATTGAGACACACAGTAAGCCGTAGCAGTCCATTACAGAGCAGATGGTCATGTGACCGGGGTGTGCCCTCTGTGCAGTGCTGGGAGACACATGGGACACTTGTTCTGCAGTGTTTTACAGGCATGCTTTGGACATTTGGGCATAATGCAGATCATTTATGCCCTAAGAGTTTTTCTTTACTTATTCTAATAAGTAAAGCAGACTAAAAATGTTTGTGCTTATGATAAGTTGCTCTCATGTGTCTTTCCTGTTGAAGGCTGTCTTGTTTGACTCCTCATAAATCATCTTAAGGCCCTGGAAACACGGCAGTTAACCCAAAATGTTTATGTGGTAACATCTAAAAAAAAAGTCAGTATTGTTCAATACTACTGAAAAATCCTGAGTACATCGGGTTATACACTCATGAAAGTCATTTCTAATGGTCAGATCACATAGAAATTGCTTGACAAATGTTCATATTTCAGTGTGTATGGCCAACATGTCTTAGCTTATTGTATGAGATTAATCCTCCCTTGTCTAGTTGAGTAAAATGTATAATACTGGGAATAATCCTGACATTAGCCTCTTTTTTATTTTTCCAGGACAGTGACATCCAGAAGAAGATCGACTATGAGATCCGAATGCGTGAGGGTGCGTGTAAGCTGCTGGCCGCATGTTCTCAGAGGGACCAAGCGCTGGAGGCCTCCAAGAGTCTCCTCACCTGCAACGCCCGCATCATGGCCTACATGTCAGAGCTGCAGCGCATGAAGGAGGCACAAGTCATGCAGCGGCTCGCATGCAGGTCAGCAGTCACTTTTGATTCATTTAGTTCAGTTTGTGTCAACAAGTTTGGTTGAACTAAATTAGATTTTTGGGTGTCTTTGATGTTTGTGGTGCTTTATAAAAGGTTAATCAGATTATAGGCCAGTTTCTTTGGGTCAGGCATTTCTATTATACTGTCAGCACTGGTAACAAATATAAAGTTTCATCAAAATATTCACTTCTAATAAATGCAGTTTGACATCTGTTGACCAGTACTTCAACACAGACAAAATCCAACACTTATATGCTTTTTGTCTAAAAATAGCAGAATGTATTGGCTAAAGTAGAGCAAATTGGGCAGCCACAAAGCACATGACAGCAGAAAACAGTGTTGAGGTCAGAAAGAGTTCAATGTGGTGACAGCGAACACTGTATCACTCTACAGCTAATGTCAAAGCATTAAAGGGGTCATATGATGCTTTTTTTAAAGATCATTATTTTGTGTATTTGGTGTAACAGAAATATCTCTTTGGTTTTGAGACTTTAGTCTTTGCAACTTCGGGGATCTTATCTATGCACAATCAGCTTGTAACACTCCAAAGAGAAAGGAAAACTTGAAATCGCATCATATGACCCCTTTAAATGTTCATTTAAGGCAAATACAACAAGCTTGTCCTTTTAATCACATGGTTGACCTTAAGACACAAAACAAATGTAAAACTAAAGCTATGTTCAGAAAAACTTCTGTCTAATGTTTTCAAAAAATATTTTTTGTATCCCAGTTTAATATGTAGAGGCAGTTGTAATTGGGGCATTTAAGGGTTTTAAGAACTCGTTGTGCTGTCATCTTGAACTTATGTAAGGATGTCAGCACATTGCTTTTTTATTTGGCATATCATCCAACCTGACACAATGACATTGGCTCAACCAATATTATAAGTTTGGGATGGGACTGTCAAATGGCAGACAGAGGAAGTGCTCAGGAAATTTTTACAATTCCGTTTGGTGACACACACTTCAGCTTTAATTATGACTGAAGCATTTTACGCATTGTGGTTTGTGTCTTATTGTTTGTGTTCAGGTCTTCTGATGCAGGTCCAATGGATGACCGATCCCCATGTAAGGGCAAAGTAGCCATTTCAGGTATGTTCACAGAAAAGAATTCAGGTAGTTATGATTAATTCACGTAATGAAAAAATATACACTACTGTTCAAAATTCTGGGGTCTGTACGTTTTTTTTTAAAGAACTATCACATCAGAAGTGCCACAGTAAATCAAAAGCGACAGTTGTAACATTTAGAATGTTACAAAAGATTTCTGTTCATTTCATATGAATGCTGTTCTTTTGAACTTTGTATTCATCAAAGAATCCACGGTTTCCACAAAAATATTAAGTGTTTTCAACATTCATAATAATAAGAAATGTTTCCTCAGCACCAAATCAGCATATTAGAATGATTTCTGAAGGATCATGTGACACTGAAGAATGGAGTAATAATGCTGAACATTCAGCTTTGCATCACGGGAATAAATTACATTTTATTTATTAAAATAGAAAAAAAGTTATTTTAAATTGTAACCATATTTCACAATATTACTGTTTTTACTGTATTTTAAAAAATTTAATAAATGCAGCCTTGGTAAGTATGAGACGTCCTTCAAAAACATTGAAAAATCTTGCTGACCCCAAACTTTTGAATGGCATGTATGAACAGAGAATGTTATATATGGATTCTGGTGTATATAACTTTCTCTGGTTTTGATTGTGTGTATTGTGCGTAAATCATGCAAACCAGTTTGTTTATGCGGGTGTCTGAGCACTAAATCACACCCCTGCTGTTTTATATATCAGCGCCTGTGTCTCAGTCTGCTTGGGGCTTCTTTTACGAGTCGTCCTCCCCTCCTCACTGTCTGGATCTTTTAGAGGGACCAGCCCCCTCTTAACACCCAGTGCTATTAACTCGCAGTTCAAACTCCTTGACTGCACCCATGGCAATCTGTGTTTGAGGCCTGGAGGGTTGATACTCAGAAAATGCTGTAATTATGACGTCATTATGAAGATGTTATAGAGGACCTTATACCCTTACTTCACACTCATATGCAAACTAACCTTCTGAGACCCAGAATTTTTTTTTTTTGTGTGTGAATTAAGTATTTTTTTCATGTCATTACATTGTTTAGTGCATAAGAACAAAAAATAATAATAATTTAGAAAAATTATGTTTTATTCATATGTTATGATATGTCCTCTGTAGAGGACACCAGGACTCAATTAAAAAAATAAAAAATAAATAAAGAACATGAATAGGCAAAAACAATAAATCATCAATATTTTTTTTTTATTCGAAACTTTGTATAAAGATGATTCTCAACTATGTTATGAAAGATATAACGGGATAATTTGATATACCATTTTGCTTTATGCAGTATGTGTTTAAAATGGCCATAAGAGTGCTATCTATACACTGTATCTAATTTGCATATTAATGTGTTCTTGGGACATTATGTAATAAAAAAGAAGTGTAATAATGGGAGTAATAATTGGCAAGATTTTTTATATTAATACCTAATATTTCATAGGAATATTGATATATCATTTCTTTTTCCAATTCACTTGTTGTGTCTCCCAAAATGCGTAATAAACATGCTTTTAGTCCTGGTGTCCTCTACAGTGGACATGTAAGAAATCAATGTCCTGTTTCGTAACAGAAAGTCATATTTTGATTTGAAACCCCATAACATTTTTCTGAGATGTTGATTTATGACAAACAGTTTAGAAATGTGTCAGATTTAAAGGATAATAACAAAATATTTTCATATTTCCATAAGGATGTTAAATTTGATCACTAAATTAATGTCAGCCATTTTTAAAGGCAGAGGAGAGGGAGTGGTCATGGTGAAACTTCCAAACATTTGGTATCTCTGAAAAGCCCTGAATGTGCTCTGTACAGGACATCCAGACTTAAAACTGTGTTAAAATATGATGTCCTCTACTGAGGACAGAAGGTCTCAGGAGGCTAATGTAAACCACACTCATGTGTAGTCACAGACGGAATCAACAGAATTTTCTGCTTTTTTTTGTCAAATTCTGTGCAGTGATTTTATTGGTGAATAAATACGTGATCAATTTAGACAAAATGTTTAAAGAACATATATATATGAAGGAAGGAATTTTATTTCAGTATTTACAGGGTATCAGCAGGATTTTTGAAAAATCAATTTAAGGCTTTTTATGACCCTTTTTAAGACCTGCACTAGAAAAATTAACATCATATGAGTGGGGTTGGGCAATGTCTAGTGTAACATATTAAACTGTAAAATTATATGATTTACAGTTCAATTACAGGTTTTCACAAAAACAAAAAGTCTTATAAAATGATAAACATCACATTTCAGCCTTTAAACCATTTAAGAAAAGGGATGAGTCAAATGTATAAATTATTATATTAATATTAAACATATAAATATTACGGTCTTAATTTATTAGATTTTTAGAAGGCACATTAGCTTCTTTCACATTTACAACTCTACGTGTTTGCTGCGTAAAAATCATGGGTCAATATTCGCATTGATCTGAACATAAGTAGCAGAAAGGCTTATTGATAATGCAAATTAATTCTCTGCCACTAGGTGGGCCTTTTGAAACAGCAGAAATATAGCGGTTTCCCTGGTAACGGCTGTACACAAAGCAGTACTGCGCTCATAAACACTGCTTTATTAGGCATTATAGGAAAGATTAAATGAAAATGCCATGGAAACTTTTCTAAAGAAAGTCAGTTCCCTTCAGAGATACATTCATATAAAAACACCCGCGCCACGTTTTGACTTTGTAATGTGCAGCGCTCATAAGCTATTCATTCAGGCTATTTTAGATTTTAAAGTTTAATCCAGCTATATTGCGATTCTTGTGTTTCCGTCCCCAAATGTAAGACCTCTTGAAATTATAATTAGGACTTTTCTTATAACATATAAGTTTAATTTATTTATTTTTATGGCCTTAAAGTGCCCCTATTATGCCTTTTCAAATATTACCTTTCATGCAGTGTGTCGTGTAGCTGTATGTGAACATAAACTATCTGCAAAGTTGTGAAGCCGACAGTGCACAATAAATAAAGTTATTGTCTATCAAAAAAAAGAGTCTGCTCGCAATCGCCTAAACGAGTCGTACAGTAAAATTTCCGTGTGGTTAACATCATGTCGAGAAGACGCTGTATCCTACGCTGTGAGAGTAAATTTGTTTTATCACGTTATAATTACCACAAACTTGTTAACACTTGACACTTAGCACTGAGAAACGTCCTGCTCCAGTCGTGCTTGCGAATCAGTCTTTTGTCGATCAGCCAGTTCAACCGTTTCATCATCAGACTCCGGCTCGAATTGGTAAGGTACAATCGATACCATCTTTTCTATGTATTGACAAGTCTTGAGGGCTGTCATTCCGTCATGGCAACGGGCGTTTCGTTTTCCGACACGCGCTGTACGCGGTAGACCAATCCAGAGCCAATCTCTCTACGGCTCTGGACCAATCACAAAGGACTGCGCCATCTGACCAATCACAGCAGTGAGGGCTCACAGAAAGGAGGGGTTTAGAGACTGATTCTTTGAACTGCTTCACACGAGTCATTTATGAATCATTTAGAAATGAGGTCAAATTAAATCTATTTTTTGAGAAAACTAACGTGTTTTTTGACCTTGCATGCATGTAAACCTGTTTTAGGAGACTGATAAAAAAATTATAGCAACCTTAAAAATGGCATAATAGGGGCACTTTAAATTTGATACATCTAAATTGAAGACTTTTTAAGGACCCGTGGGAACCCTGTATTTAAGATAGCCCGTCAGGCAGGGTGGTGATACATTTTGGTAGCCTGACTGGAAGACACAATAGCCCCGGGACGTTGGGCTAGCGATTTTGCGAGCCCTGGAATTTTATCAATGACCAGCATCCCTGTTCTGCAGAAATATGCTGTGCTTTCTTCGGCTGCAGATTCTGTGTGGGATTCCTGCTCATGCAACATCATTCCACTAAACAAATGCATCCAGGCTGTTTATCATGTAGTTCATCCCACGCACATACAATCTAATGTTCCCACATGCAGCCTCGGTTTTGTGTTTTCTGCTGTCCATCATCTACATTCAGTACCCAATTATTGTTCCCTAACAACCTCTTCCTATTAATTTAATTGAAGTTCTGTTGTTATTAACAAGCCTGATTACACAGACCTTGACAGAGAAGCTCATCCAGGTGGGCTGAAGTGATGATGTGGTCTTGATGTGGTGGGTGGGCCAGTATGATAATGGTGATTTATACTGGCTGGTAGCATGGCATAAAATACCAGATGTGTGTTGTGAACATATTTTTCTTTTGATTGACATGGAGTGACAGCCGACATTGGTTGCTCGCAGCTGTGAGTGACACTGAGTGTGTGTGTGTGTGTGTGTGTGTGTGTGTGTGTGTGTTATAACCTTGTGTTTCGCTCTGACCTCCAATTCCTCTTTTTTGCAGATCTACGGATACCTCTAATGTGGAAAGACACAGATTATTTTAAGAATAAAGGAGGTAACATCTGTTTTTCCTCTTCACTCTGATATGCAGGTTAAATAACAGAGCAGGTTGTTTAGAATATATTTGATCTTTATAACCCTTGTATAGCACACACACACACACACACACGCATATGCATTACCGTGATAACGAAAAACACATTTATTTATGAAGCGTTCAGGCACAGCAAAGCCCTCTGGGTAAACAGAATATTATTACAGGCATCGGAAACCTTTTTCCAGACCACAGTGACTAATGTCGTTTCGCCTAAGGTGCTTAGAGCAGCTGATAGAGGTGATATTATGTTGATGAATGTGACACAGGAACCCACATGCATGTGTTATTCTCTCATGGGAAAGCTTTTATATGTACTTTATCCTGTTAATGGGAACATATATTTTAACAGCCATCGAAATGATTAGGACAAGAACGTTTAACACTGGTTGTGTCACAATTATTCATGTTCTACAATTTGTACAAGGAAGAAAATGCACAGATACTAATGTTGCCCTGAGCAGGAAAAGGCAGGACAGCTCACACACAGGTGCAGGAGTAAATGTTTCCTGAATGAACAGAGCTGCTCGGGGGGATTTTATAGGCACTGGGCCAAGCATGCAGCTACACTGGTGAAGACATTAGAGCAGGTGTGACTTGTAAGTAGTACATGTAAATGTCTTTCTTTATTTCTTCAGAGCTGCACCGGTGCGCTGTGTTCTGTCTGCTGCAGTTGGGTGGTGAGATCTTTGACACAGACATGGTGATGGTGGACAGGACGCTGACAGACATCTGCTTTGACAACACAATTGTCTTGTGAGTGTGCATGTTTATTGTGTCATTTTAACTGTTTCTGGACATTTATTCTACACATACATATGTTTTTAATCTTTGTGCAACTTCCAAACCAGCTATAGTTTGTTTGTGTCAGTATATAAACTATATAAACTTTAAAAAAACATTTTATATATAAGTCTTACTGACCCCAAACTCTTGAATAGTAGTGTATACTGAATTTAAATCTACATTTGCACTATTTTAACATTAAATGTGTGGAGTAATGCGAAGCAATGTGCTTCAATCATGCTTTTGTTTACTGTGTGCAGTAATGAAGCCAGTCCAGGGTTCGAGCTGCGGGTGGAGCTGTATAGCTGTTGTTCAGAGGAGGACTACTCAGCAGGCAGCACTCCGCGGAAGCTGGCCAGCAAGCTGAGCTCATCTCTGGGAAGGTCAGCAGGAAAGAAAATGAGGGCGGCCTTGGAGCCCGGAGCCAGCAGCCCCACTAGCAATGGAGGAGGAGCGGCAATCCTGCTGCCTGTGCCCTCTGTACCGTAAGTGTGTAGAAACACACACACAAACACACTGCTGCTACGTGAATCAAAAATGCTAAAAGGATTGCTGTGGACTGCAGTCCAGTGATAAACATATGTTCAAAGATATGGAAAAACAACAAGCAACATACAAGACTGTTTAAAAGTCTGGGATCTGTACGATTTTTTTAATGCCTTTGAAAGTCTCTTATGCTCACCAGGACTGCATTTATTGGATCAAAACTACAGTAAAAACAGAAATGTTGTGAAATAATATTAAAATTTAAAATAACTGTTTGCTATTTGAATAGAATTTCAAATGTAATTTAATTTTATTGATGACCAAGCTGAATTTTTATCAATCATTATTCCAGTCTTTAGTGTCACATGATCCTTCAGAAATCATTCTAATATGCTGATTTGGTGCTCAAGAAATGTTTAGTATAGTAATAAAAAAAATATATTACTGACCCCAAACTGAACACTTTTTAATGGCTTTTCAATTATTTACTGGCTTGTCACAAAAAATAAATAATTATAAGGTATTATTATTTCAGGACTTTTTTTATATTTGTGGTCCAGGGTCACATATATTTTATATGTGACCCTGGACCACAAAACCAGTCTTAGGTCACTTGGGTATATTTGTAGCAATAGCCAAAAAACATTGTATGGGTCAAAATTGTCGATTTTTCTTTTATGCCAAAAATCATTAGTATATTAAGTAAAGATCATGTTCCATGAAGATATTTTGTAAATTTCCTACCATAAATATATCAAAACTTAATTTTTGATTATTAAATTACCAAAGGAAACACGAGACACCTTCCACTTTCTCCGTTCAGCATCCCTATCATGCATGCTATCATAAAATCATTGAATTCAAGCAGCTTCAGGGATTCACTAATATCGCCAAATCAACATTCCTGCTCTCATATGGACGATTTTATTGCAGTTTATGGTTTTTATGTCCTTTTTTGAGATTGACTGACCTTGAGTCAAACAAGTGTGGACAGGAGAGTAATTTTAATTAATAATTTTGCTCTTTTTTATTTTTTTTTATATTTTCAATATATTTTTATAAAATTTTCAGTATTTATAATATTGTAAGAACTTTTTCTTTTAAAATATTACTATATAGGCTGCATTTCATTTTAGCTCAGTTCTAGCTTTTATTTATTTCTAGGTAGTAATTTAGTGCAACAACTAGTTTTTCACTCAATTACTGATTTTTAGTTCAAGTTTAACATTGAAACACCCATCTCATATTTATATTTCATTTTAGTTCAGCTTTATTTCAATTCAACACAAATGTGTTAATAGTTTAAGTTAAAATCATCTAATTCAAGCAGCTTCACACCAGTTTCATCCTGAATATCTTTTCAGGGATTCACTAAAATCCCCAAATCAACATTCCTGCTTTCATATAGACTTTTTTTTATTTTTTATTTTTATAAATATTTTCAATAGTTTTACATTTTTTTTGTTTTTTTTTGTTCATCTCATATTTATATTTTATTTAAATTTTTAATATTTCCCTTTTTTCCCCTATTTACTATTTTATCCCAATTTTCTATAATTTTTTTTAATTTGCATTTTATTTTATTTTAGTTTGTTTCAATTTAACAACATTTGTTTTAATAGTTTTCGTTTTAATTTAACATTTAGTGTTTCCATCTCATATTTATATTTTATTAAAAATTTTAATATTTCCTTTTTTTCCTATTCTTTTATCCCAATTTTCTATTTTTTTATTTGCATTTTATTTTATTTTATTTTGTTTCAATTTAACAAAAATGTTTTAATAGTTTTGGTTTTAATGTCACCTGTACCATAATAACCCTGGTTAACAACAAGGGCGAGTGACTTACAGAATTGCCCTTTTTAAGCTCAACTATTGCTTTATTGGCCGTTTACCTTCAGGAAGGGAATGACGAAGGGCCTCAGGGGGAAGTTTGTAGCTTCTTGCAGTCTGGAGTGAAACTCTTCAATGGTGACGGTGGAGTTCTGTGGGAGAAACACATGGCTTGTTAACTCTAGCTCACATCTGATCAAACGGTGCTCGTGAAAGGCGTGTGTGAGAGACGCACCACCAGCGCCAGCACCAGGTTTCGGACGCTCTCTCCGATCTCGGGCGAGATGTCGTTGCCGAACTGCTGCAGTGTTGTGAGGAAGCGCTTGAGTTTGCTCAGCTGTCGCGCGCCGCAGGTGGCTGGAAGCTGCTGATTGGCCAGAGAGGAGGAAGATGATGATGAAGGGCCGTTGCTGTAGCGCTGAGGCGGCGAGGGAATGGCGTTGAGCATCGGCGGGGAATGATTGATCCCATTAGTCACTGCAGAAACAGAGAATGTGGTTAGCAATGATCTGCAAAATATTTTAGTATTATTTATGTACAATAATAGTTTTTATTAATATTTCGAATTATCTTTTATATTTTATTATATTTTATGTTTCCAGTTTTTATTTTAATTTTAGTTTTCTTATGTGCTTTTGTCTTTTTTTTTATATTACTATTTGTGACCCTGGAGCACAAAAGCAGTCTTAAGTCGCTGGGGTATATTTGTAGCAATAGCCAAAAATACATTGTAGGGGCAAAATTATCTCATTTTTCTTTTATGCCAAAAATCATTAGTATATTAAGTAAAGATCATGTTCCATGAAGATATTTTGTAAATTTCCTACCATAAATATATCAAAACTTAATTTTTGATTATTTATATGCATTGCTAAGAACTTAATTTGGACAACTTTAAAGGCGATTTTCTCAATATTTAGATTTTTTTTGCACCCTCAGCTTTCAGATGATGTATAAATCTCAATTTTAAAAAATTGACCCTTATGACTGGTTTTGTGGTCCAGGGTCACATATGTATTAGCAAATATACTGTATATGCAAATATCCAGCAAATATATATTTTAAATGTATTCACAATTAATTTGATTACTTCATCAGTTTATCATTAATTCGTCAGTTTATTCATCAGTTTATTTATTTGTATTTGATTGACAGTCATAGTTTAAATATGTTTGCATATTCCCTTCTCTGATTGTGTTTTATGTGTTTATAGGGGGCCCAAATATCATCTTTTGGCTCACACAACCCTCAATCTCTCTCACGTCCAGGACAGCTTCCGCACACATGACCTCACAATCACTGGAAATGGTGAGCTGCCGAACCCATTATTAAAGCTCAACTTTTTTAACCAGGAATATCTTTATTTAGAAAACATGTCAAAATACTGTATATGTTAGCCACAATTTTTTTTTTTTTGACTTTTGAAATTCTAATAATATGTCATTTGAAATTATAATTTGGCATTTTACTTTTAAAATTTTTTTTAAGATACAAGTGATAAAGTGCGATGATTTGATATGTCAACAAGTGCCTTCTGGGATTTTATTAAAAGCTCATTATATTTATGACATGCTAGTTTTCTTCACATTGCAGGTAATCAATTACAGACAGGCCCGCAGAGCACATTTATGTGTGTGTTTGTGTGTGCATTGTCAATGTCTGTCAGATTTATTGTGTTAGGGTCATGCTCATAAACTTCTTGGGATGGCCAGTCAATTTGAAGGGCCAATAAGAGGCGTTATAGCCGTCTTCATGTCTGAGGAGTTACTGCAGACAGTCTTACAGCCTGAGTGTGGGCTGCTCGCTCTCGCAGATGCTAGATTACTTTGTTGTAAAAGATGTACTAAAACTATAGGGTGCAAAACATGACGTCATTTGAATAGCTTGTTTACTTGGTTTTAAAATACAGTTTCTAACTTTGTAAGATCACACATTCCTATCTTTCTCTCAGTAGGAGTGCCATTACTGTATCATTTTGTCTCTTTGTCTCTCTGTAGAGGAGTGTTCGTACTGGCTGCCTCTGTATGGCGGTGTGTGTTGTCGTCTGGCCGCTCAGCCTCACTGTATGACACAGCAGATGATGAGTGGCTGTCTGAGGGTAAAGGTGTGTAGGAAACACACTCACTCACTTCAATATCATATTTCCCCATTTTTAAGTCGCTGGGGTATATTTGTAGCAATAGCCAAAAATACATTGTAGGGGCAAAATTATCTCATTTTTCTTTTATGCCAAAAATCATTAGTATATTAAGTAAAGATCATGTTCCATGAAGATATTTTGTAAATTTCCTACCATAAATATATCAAAACTTAATTTTTGATTATTTATATGCATTGCTAAGAACTTAATTTGGACAACTTTAAAGGCGATTTTCTCAATATTTAGATTTTTTTTGCACCCTCAGCTTTCAGATGATGTATAAATCTCAATTTTAAAAAATTGACCCTTATGACTGGTTTTGTGGTCCAGGGTCACATATGTATTAGCAAATATACTGTATATGCAAATATCCAGCAAATATATATTTTAAATGTATTCACAATTAATTTGATTACTTCATCAGTTTATCATTAATTCGTCAGTTTATTCATCAGTTTATTTATTTGTATTTGATTGACAGTCATAGTTTAAATATGTTTGCATATTCCCTTCTCTGATTGTGTTTTATGTGTTTATAGGGGGCCCAAATATCATCTTTTGGCTCACACAACCCTCAATCTCTCTCACGTCCAGGACAGCTTCCGCACACATGACCTCACAATCACTGGAAATGGTGAGCTGCCGAACCCATTATTAAAGCTCAACTTTTTTAACCAGGAATATCTTTATTTAGAAAACATGTCAAAATACTGTATATGTTAGCCACAATTTTTTTTTTTTTGACTTTTGAAATTCTAATATGTCATTTGAAATTATAATTTGGCATTTTACTTTTTTAATTTTTTTTAAGATACAAGTGATAAAGTGCGATGATTTGATATGTCAACAAGTGCCTTCTGGGATTTTATTAAAAGCTCATTATATTTATGACATGCTAGTTTTCTTCACATTGCAGGTAATCAATTACAGACAGGCCCGCAGAGCACATTTATGTGTGTGTTTGTGTGTGCATTGTCAATGTCTGTCAGATTTATTGTGTTAGGGTCATGCTCATAAACTTCTTGGGATGGCCAGTCAATTTGAAGGGCCAGTAAGAGGCGTTATAGCCGTCTTCATGTCTGAGGAGTTACTGCAGACAGTCTTACAGCCTGAGTGTGGGCTGCTCGCTCTCGCAGATGCTAGATTACTTTGTTGTAAAAGATGTACTAAAACTATAGGGTGCAAAACATGACGTCATTTGAATAGCTTGTTTACTTGGTTTTAAAATACAGTTTCTAACTTTGTAAGATCACACATTCCTATCTTTCTCTCAGTAGGAGTGCCATTACTGTATCATTTTGTCTCTTTGTCTCTCTGTAGAGGAGTGTTCGTACTGGCTGCCTCTGTATGGCGGTGTGTGTTGTCGTCTGGCCGCTCAGCCTCACTGTATGACACAGCAGATGATGAGTGGCTGTCTGAGGGTAAAGGTGTGTAGGAAACACACTCACTCACTTCAATATCATATTTCCCCATTTCAGTTTAGTTTGGCTAATGTTCTTCCTTTCTCTCAAGCTTGGAGGTGAGCCACAAGGATGGACAAATGTCTATGGTGTTTTAAAAGGAACAAATCTCTTCTGCTATCATCAAAAAGAGGACATGGAGGCCAATGTGGAGCCTGTCTTAACGATTGGGATTAACAAAGTAAGTTCAGTCATACTCTGGAGATTTTAAGCGTGCTCATTTATGCACATGATATCAGGGTCATTGTTCTGCTTTTGGAAATATCACGAGATATTTTTCTTTGTGAGTATCTTGAAAGCACTCTTTCAAATGGATACTCTCTTTTTTAGAAAGAGAGAATCCATTTGTCGGAACATTTTTCATTGTGTCTGTAGTTATGAAAAGACGTTTTTGTTTGCCATGCACTGGATCTGGATCTTTCAGTGCCCCTAGAGAGCTGCCTGTCACGAGCACAAAGAGCTTGTTTTAACATCTGAGAGCTGCACTGTGAGTCTGCACATTCCTCAGCTCTCAGGTGACTGCTGTGCACTACACACGCTTTACTTGTGCTCTGCTTCCACCTACTTGATAGAGCTGAAATTACTATTTTATACAGAAAAATATGTGCAAAACTTTTGCTACAGTTATTGCTATTATATACTATGACTTCAAACAAGAACCTTATGCAAAACGGCGTAGTTCAGAATGTTTTAAAAGAAGTCTGAAAGTGAAAAACTAATATTTGACACTATATCCTTTAGATATGATGATAATAATAATGTAAATTGCAAAATGTGTAGTAAACAAGTCTTCAAACTGAAACTCTGTCAGACTGTACATTATTCTGCTTATAACATTGCTCCATATCACATAAATAAATAAATGACATTAAATTTGAGTTTAAATTATTTTATATTGTTAGAACAAATAGACAAAAGTACTACTGTAGTATTGTGTATAGCTGATATTGTTGTTGGTGTTATTTTTAAGTATGCATAAATAATGTGTGAGCAGTCAACCGTTACCTATGTTTTTGTTTTTAAGTTAGCATACTTTTATTTTGCACTGAATTTCAAATTAATAATAAAACCATCAGATTGTGCATTTCAGTTATATACTTTAATATACTCTACACTTCAAAAGTTCTGGTCAGTAAGATTTTCTTTTTTTATTTGAAAGAAATTAATACTTTTGTTCAGCAAGGACACATTAAATTGACACATTAAATTTCAAACATGCTGATCTTCAAAGAACGTTTTATTAATCAAAGAATCCTAAAAAAAGGATCACATTTTCCACAAAAATATTAAGCAGCACACCTGTTTTCAACATTGTTTTAAATGTTTTAATTTGTAAATATATTGAAATAAAAAAACACGTTAAGTAGTAGTATTAGTAGTATTAAACAGTAGTAACAGTTTGTAAATAGTAGTAATATTTTACAGTATTTTAGGATTTTTTTTACTGTATTTTTGATCAAATAAACAAGATACTTCTTTAAAAAAAAACTGTATAAAAAATCATACTGACCCCAAACTGTTGTGTATATGATATCAGTTATAGTTTATAATTTCACAATTCTTACAAAAAAAAAATGTCATGTGTCTCCATCTCAGGAGACGAGAATACGGGCCGCAGAGAAGGATCCTCACAGCAAGGCACAGAATATCTGTATCACTAACCAGTATGGAGGAGAGGAGGTGATGCACACACTAACAGCGGACAGCAGAGAGGACACACAGCGCTGGATGGAGGCCTTCTGGCAGCAGTTCTATGATATGAGTGAGTACTTAAACTCTAAAATTACTAAAATGCACTAAGTGACCATAAAGCCATAAGCCACACAAGACATTGACAGTGCATTACTGTGCAAAAAACCATTAACTGTGGTAAAATCATTTTTATGTCAGCCCTAGAGTGGCTTTTTGCTTTTATGAAACCGTGACAGCAGCAATAATGCTAATGAAAGACACAGTGCTCAATTATATAATTTAAAAAAAAAATAATTAAATATATATATATATATATATATATACATTAAATTATTTTAATAAACAAATTATGAGATGTAATATAATTCATGAGCCTGATTGTTAGTTCAATGCATTACCAGAAAAGTTTGACTAAGCTGCATGCGCCCTCTACAGGCCAGTGGAGGCAGTGCTGTGACGACCTGATGAAGATTGAGCTGCCTTCACCACGCAAACCTGCCATAGTCACCCCGAAGCAGGGCTCCCTGTACCATGAGATGGGTGAGTGCATTCAGATACCTTTTTTACACATTTACAGAGGCTGGAGGAGAGTTTTAAGCTCTAGATTGGCACAAAATATAGGCCAGTGGCACTGTAGAGCCATACATCTAGACAGATGATGACAGAAATAATGCACACGCAGGATTTCCTGTCATGAATAACAGATATGCCTGTGAACCTAACGATGATGTGTGGATTGAACTGCATGTCCTCGTCCTCTGTCAGATCTGAGTCTTTCTCTTTATCAATTTATCTCCTTTAACTACTAAAATGAAAAGTCTGCTGTTTCTGACAAACTGACAGTCTTTTCTCTCTTTTCTTCTCTGTCTTATTCTCTCTGTGGTTTTTATGTCTGTCTCTTCACTGTTTTTTTCATGTCTGTTTTTTCCCTCCTCTTTCACTTTGTTCCTATTGATTTTTCATGCACTCTTGTATTTTCCTGGTTTCATGCCTTAAATTTGTAATCCAAACATCCATCCCATACATTCCCCAACCACTGTATCATTATTTGGTTGCTATATAAACACTCATTCCCTGCATTTGTTGGCCCCTCGTGCGTTTTGCTGGCCTCCCCCTCCTCAGTGGCCCCTGCATCCGGTGAGGGGCTTTTGCTGCAGGATAACGCTGTCTCTGCTGAGATCCGAGCTCTGCTCTCCTCTTATTACAATGACAGGTGAAGTAACTGTGATGAGAAGTTACCTGACCTCACGCTCTACCCTCAGAAGATGCTACTGTCCCACGAGATCCCAACCTTTTTTGTCGCCCCTGTGACCAACAACTTTTACTTGATGTAGATTTCAAATACGGTTCTAAGCTTATATAAATTAAATGAATAATGCACTAAGCTATTATTACTATTATTATTATATTATTAGATGACACCATAGTAGATTGCTAAATTTTCATTGTTTTAATTTGTACTTGTTTATAGTTTTTTTTCTTTGAATTAAAAACCATGAAGTATAAAATGATCAAATTAAATCTATGTAACAACAGAGTACATTGATTTATTATAATTTTTTAGTTTATTTGTTTTATTTTAACAGACAATTATTTTTATTTTTAAAAATACAGTTTTTATTTTATTTTTTATTATTTTATCTTATTTTATTTAACAATTTATTTTATTTTATTCTAAAAAGTACAATTATAATAACAAAAAATAATATAATAATAATATAAATAATAAAAATAAAAATATAATAATAAAAAATGTTAAAATAAATGACTGAAAATAAAACTTTTTATATTGTTTTATATTTACTAATTTTATTTTAACATTACTGTAATTTATTTTATTTTCACTATTTGTACACATTGACTTTTTTTTGCATATTGTTTCAATTGTACTTATTTTAAGAGGTTTTTTTTTTAATTGTGTCATTTTATGGTTTTAATTTTACTAATTTTATTTTAATTATAATAAAATATGCTTTCATAAGATTCATCAGCTTCCAACAATTAGCTTGCCAGTTCTTTATTGTGAAAAAAAAAACAAGTTAGAAAAACATGTCCCACTGTCTGAAAGCAATAATAATTTTTTTTTGGGTATGTTTTATCGAAAGACTATAAAAATGAAGCTTGCAACTCAAAATCAGCTGTCAGGCAAATAAATTTTTTTCTGCTTTTTTGAAAAAAAAGAAAAAAAAGTTTTCATTATGGCTACTGTTTCTCTTCCGTCACAGTTATTGATACGTCTGATGACATTGGAACCAGGCATGGTCCCCGGACACCTCTTCCTCCTCGGGTCGCTTCCGCCCCCGTACCCTCTCCCTGGACGCCAAGCTCTCCACTCTGCGCGCTCGGGGCTATGGTGGCTTCCGGTGCAACTGCCAGCCACCCACCGCCGGCTCTGGGTCTCCTCGCCCCACTCAGACTGCTCTGTCCTGCTCTAGTTCCACTTCCAGCAGCAGCTCCAGTGAGGGAAGCAACAGTCAAGAGTTAGACCTGGGCTTTTCTAGACCGTCCGGCGCACGCCACAGCTTGAGGAATCCACTTCCAGCAGCAGCTCCAGTGAGGGAAGCAACAGTCAAGAGTCAGACCTGGGCTTTTCTAGACCGTCCGGCGCACGCCACAGCTTGAGGAATCTGAGAGCTAAGCTAGACCCAAGGAACTGGCTGCAGAGTCAGGTGTAGCTGTTACACTTCCTCTGGTTACTGTCAGAGCCATCACAACTTCCTGTGTCTCCCTGGAAAAAACTGGAATACCTGAGGTCATGTGTGCTCAATGTCCGTCATTGCATTTTCTTTACATAATAATGGAGAGCAACATAAAAAATAACAATTTTCTTCTGCCTTTTAAAGGAGCCGCCACAATGGGAATCCAATACTATTAGTTATATAATACACTACTAATATATATAGCAGTACACATTGTCTCTTCATGAAAAGCTCATTATTTTGGATCTTTTGAGAGCGTAGTTGTTTTATGTGAGACAGATTCCTGGTACAGTGTTTTTAGACTGGATTGAAGCAGTAGCTTTTTGGCCAGTCATTGTGTCTGTGTGCACTGTTTTAGATATATGGTTTAGAAAGTGCTGTCAGGGTCAAGTCTGCTGAGTATTCATCATTACTCACATTAAGCCTGGCAAGTACACTACCGTTTGGGGTCAGTGAGATTTTTAAATGTTTCTGAGAATTTTTTAAAGTCTCGTATACTCAACAAGGCTGCATTTATTTGATCCAAAATACAGTAATATTGTGAAATATTATTATCATTTAAAATAACTGTTTCCAATATTAAAATATTTTATAATGTAATTTATTTCTGCGATGGCAAAGCTGAATTTTCAGCATCTTTACGTAATCATCATAATATGCTGATTTGGTGCTCAAAAACATTTCTTATTATTTTCAGTGTTGAAAACAATGCTGCTTATTATTTTGTGGAAACTGATTTTTTTTTCAGGATTCTTTGATAAAGAGCAGCATATTTTGTAACATTATAAATGTCTTTACTGTCATTTTTTAAAATCTATTTAATGCACCCTTGCTGAATTAAAGTATTAATATCTTTTTAAAAAATCTCACTGATCCCAAACATTTGAACGCTAGTATATTCAGGATCAGTGATCTTGGAAACATAGTATTAATAAACTTAACGTGTGAAAGTTAGCTTAGCACTGATGAATTTCACTTTATTAATAAGTGGTATTATCACTTTCTTCATAGGGTGCAGTGGCAGTTTAAATTCTGCATCTTTTTTCAATTGTTAATCATGTAATTAAGGACATTACCAATAACTGACTTTCTGTCAAGGTTCACACAGTCACTTTTGTTGATGTTGTGCTGTATGGTTGTTTTGGACATATACTGACAACTTGTGGTTTGGATCCCGTCTCACACAAAAGCAAAATTTTTCGTTTGCAGAAATGTGTGGTTGCAGAACCGCTCTCTCTGCAGTCAGCGATGGTTAATTTAATCTTTGATCAAAAGTGTCTAACAATAGAAGGGTTACTGAGTTAAAGCCAGCAGGATCTTAGCATGGCTGCCCTCGTAAGGAGACACGATCTATGTAAAATTAAACCGCTTTTATTATGCTATTGATGTGAATAGAGTCTTCGTCTCATCTAACAGTTCATGATTTGATACATATTTTTCAAAAGTACTATACGTTTCTTTTTGTGACACCTGAGGAAAAGTGCAACTCTAGAATTGTATAATATCTGCTATAATGTCTGTTACAGTTCATGACGTTCTCTTTGCATGGCTTCAGTATATATGCAAAGGTCCAGATGTCTCAAGACTATTCAAGTTTATCATGACGGGATATAATGTGATTCCGTTTACTACCTGTGACTGTAATGACCTCAGGATTACTGTACATACCTTATCTCACTCAGCAAATGTGAACCCCCTATCAGTCAGAAAAAGTAAAAAATCAGAATGCACATTAACTAGGATTCAGCACAAGCAGTGAAATTTGGCTGGAAGTTGAATGTTTTGGGTGCTTTGTTTTAACGGTCCTTCGTTTTGAGCCATTGCAGTAAAGGCCTGTCTGATTGACAAGGGTTGCGAAGGCACTACTATGCAAAGCTACAAGAGCTCAAAGTTAATTGTGTATTCTAGATTTCATTAAGTCAGCGGTGCACGCATTATTTGAAGATTTTCCTTTTCCTTGTTTGCTTGCGGGTCAGTTTTGTCAAGCACTTTGTGTGCTTCTAACTTTGTGAATTTGCAGTGTCATATGGCATCTTCCAGCTCAGATAAAGTGAACATTTGCTTGAAGACAAATATATACGCAATATTTACCATAATGAAAGTCTAGATAACTATTATTGTGATTTCAGTAAAACCTCAGGAGTGTAATTACAGTCCATCTTGCCATGAAAATATTAATTAAAAAAAACACATCTGCACAGTATATTAGGTATCCAAACCTGTATTGTATTTTTTTTTTTCATATGAAATTTAAAAAAATGGTCAGATGGAGACATGGTTTTCTTTATATAAATACAGGGATTAAAGTTCCGTCGCTACGACGGATTTCCGTCAGTTCATAAAGAGAGTCACTTGTCTCATTCCTGAATGAATCAGCCGTTCGAACGAATCAATTGAATGAATGATTCAGTGATAAAATCAGTGACATGCCGCCATCTGCTGGCGGATTTAGTTTCATTTTCAATAAGACAAATAAGTTACCAATCATATGAAATTAGTATTAATAATTTAATTTGTACTACAGAGGTGGCACAGAAGAACAAAAAAGTGGCTTGTAGGTAAATTTTCAGACGTTTAACAAGTGACTCTCTTTATGAACTGACGGAAATCCGTCGTAGCGACGGAACTTTAATCCCTGTAATTACATGTATAGTGTATTACAAATATTAGAAAGTTGGAAGTGTAGAAATACTAGACTAACCTATCCTCTTCAATTCAGAATTAGTAGAGAAAGTTTTGTCCTAGTACTGTGATGCTACATAATTAATAGTTCTCACTTGAAGGGCCACTGACTTGTATTTAAAAACTGTAAATTCATTTAAACACTATTTGTTCTTGTAAAGTTTTGTAATTTTGTGCGTTTATTAAAGTTGTATTTTACCATATTAATTTTTGTTATAAATAAAATTATATTGACATTTTATCAGACGCGTAAAGCTCTAATGATCCTGGTAGGTAACATTGAATGTTAAACTGGAGGTAAGTGTCATTTCAGCAAGCGGTCTGCATGTCTTTGGACAAACTAATAGATTCATGTACAAGAGCAATTTATTGTAAAGAATTACCAAAATTAAAAGTAAACAGCATTTTTGTGTGTATGTGTGTAATTCTCTTGATTCTTGCAGCGAATGTGTCAAGATAGTAAAAATGATTTTACTTGACTAAATGTTCAAGATAGTAAACTCAGTGTGACCCAGTAAAGTGAATCCCTTTAATTTTAACTCATGCATTAATACACAAGTAGTGAATATGTTTTTTTGAACATCATGATACTCAAAATATTATGAAGTCAGTGTACTGGCTGTGCAACAAATCAAAAACATAAAAGCATTATTGCAGAATGTGGGAAAAACAAAAACCTCATCGTTTATTACACTAAGAAATTACTAACAGAGAGCAAAGAGTAAGTTAAATGTGTTGGTGATTCTTCTATTGTTTGGTCTTCCCCATTAATACAGAAGAATTTTGTTAGTTGGAAAACGACCTATTACTAAAATCTGGTTACAAAAGTTAAATGGATTAGACAGACCCTCTCTAGAAGGAACAATATCTATGTCCTCGGTCAGAGATAAATATAAATAAAATAGAAAAACAATGTGTATTTGATAGCATTTACACAACAGTGAACTTTGTCTTATTTTACACTACTGTTCAAAAGTTTAGGGTTAGTAAGATTTTTTTTTTTTGAAGGAAATTAATACTTTTATTCAGCCTTGGTGAGCTTTAGAGACTTCTTTCAATAACATCTCAAATCTTACCGACCCCAAACTTTCAAACGGTAGAAAGGTGGAAGAATTTAATTTTGACGGAAGGTTCAGAGCATTTAAAAACATGTAATGGCTGCCAAGCTCAGTCTTAAGGGTATCTGCTTGTAATAATAACACTCATTTTTTTAACCATCATTTTTTAACCATGTATGTATGTATGCAGGTATGACAGGTATGCTATTCAGAATGCTGTAAACACATCTCTGCTTTAAAAAAAACATGACACGTTACAAGTATTAAACCTACATTATCAACACGTTTTACTGGTACTATGACATAGTACTAGTTCTCAAAAAAAAAGGAAAAAATAAACTCGTTTCTATACTCAGGACCAACTGACATGTGACTGTATAAGCTGGATTTATGTGTAAAGGCCTCAACATAAACTGAAATCTGTTCTCAGCAGACACCTCCACCACCTTTGGTATCATTTAGTAATGATAACAGTAACAACGGTATGTAAAATAATAAATGATGTAATGTGTAAATAATAAAAGGATCATTTGTGTACAATCAAGTGAGAATCCTCAGTCTGGCAGTTGATGATCACTAAAGTCTCAATATTCGACTTTGGCTGTTTGTTTTAGAGCAAAAGGAATCGTTGGCCAAGTTGTGCCAGTGAACGCTTCACTTGCAACCCTTTTCCTGTGACTCTTAGTCTCAGAGTACATGGTACATCCTCATAGACCGGGTTTTGTGGTTCTTGGTCCCTGAGAACTTGGTAAAAAATGAAGAGGAAAAGGAAAAGTCTTTAGATGGTCTCAACATAGTTGGCGGGAAAGAGACCCTGGCGTCCATCTTTACTGGAGCCCCTCCACCACGCTTTGTCGATTGTTTCCACATCACTGATGATATCACCAGGTTCAAATGAGAGCTCAGTGTCATCCTCTGTGGAGAACAGAGACGTTTTAAAGCATATCTTATTCAATTACACAGCACTGCTGTTGAAGCAAGCAACACTAACCTGCTTGGTAGTCATATAATGCTCTCACATGCAGAAGTCTTTCTGCTGATGACTGCAATAAGAAGGAACAACATGTTTTAGTACTTCCTTTCTTCTTTTATCACATTAATATTAATGACGAGTCATGATGTCTAGTGTGCTATGTACTTCGCCGTTCTCAGTCACCACCTCCGTCTGGATTTCATCGTCATCTTCCTCCTCACGATTAACCATATAACAGTACCGCTCAGGTGTGCTGTGCTCAGATACATCAACATCCTCTACTTAAAAACAAAACAAGTTGTTCAATATTCACATATATATACATTCATCACACGAGAGACAACAAAACTAGATAACGCAAGGCTGGAATACACTACACAACATTTGCCCAGATCTACAGATTCTGGGCCATCAAGTTGACAGATTTTACAAAA